GGGGGGGGGGGGGGGGGGGGGGGGGACTCACAGGTTCCTGAAGGCGTCCTCGCGCAGGCCCGCGGGCAGCCTCGCTGGGAGGCCGGGCTGCAGGAAGCGGCCCGGGGACCCCCGCAGCACCTTGCCCAGGACTGCCACGCACTCCAGGGAGCTCAGCTCCTGGAAGCACCGCTCCAGCGTGATGAGAAGCAGGCTGCGGTTCACGCCCGGGCTCTGCAAGGCTTGTTTCCGAATCTCCCCCACGTCGATGACGATGCCTTCCAGCTCCTAAAGGCACAGGAAGCAGGTGGTCTTGAGCGCAGAGGCGCTGAAGGGACCCACTCGGCAGCAGCGAGGAAAGGAAGGACCACTGTGTGACCCCACGCTGCCATGGCAACCCTTCTCCACGTCAAGGCCTCCACCTGCCCCACCCACTGCACAGCCTGTTCTGAGATGCCCGTGACTGCCACACCCGGCCCTGTTCCAGCTGGAATTCCTCCCCAACTCCTTCCCCTATTGAAACCCAGCTCATCCTCCAAGGCTGAGTGCAGGCATCACGTAATTTATGTCCTCTCTGATCTCCTCCTACTTCAGTCAGATCAATTCTCCCCCCAGTACGTGCTCCTAGGAGCATCTTGAGCCAAACTCTGTGATGCATCCGAGATGCTCATGGGCTGTCTCTCCTCCAAGCCGGTGGTCAACTCGGTCAACACATCAGCCTCATTGGGAGAGTGCCGGCACATGGGAACCCACAATGCGCATTAATCAGCGTCGCTTTCGTGGGAATCCCCATTTTGCATAAACTGGCACTTCCTTTTCTATTATTTACTCTGTATTTTTTCAAAAGTTCAATTCATTTCGGAAGGAAACACTACATTTCTACTACAAAGCTCACGGGTTCAATGTGTCCATTCTATTTTAATCACAGGCTTTGAAGTAAATCCGTGAGGATGAAAATGTGTAATTGGTCAACTCCTTCTGGGGACACTGACCCACACGACCTGCCTCTGACAAGGAATCTCAGAGCCTCGGGTGCCTGGCCGGCCGGGCTGGGCCCCACGGGCTTCTGGGTCTGAGGCCGTGCTTGGCTCTCACATCACCAGCTTTTGTGAAATGATCTGATTTTTGTCTCCACTCCAGACTGTCAACTCCTCGAGGTCAGGGACAGTCTTTTATCTCTGAACCCAGTGTCCCTGGGGGCATAGCACACATTACACGTGTTCTTAAGCCAAACCCCTGGTGCCATGAGAATGTGAATCAGACGACTCTTCCTTTGATCTTCAGAGAAAGTGAGAAAATCTCAGCCCAAAACTGCCAGGGGGTTGGGGAGGGAGAAGGAGATGGCAGGTCAGGGCCTGCCCGGCCGGTGTGGCTCGGTGGTTGAGCGTCAACCCAGGAGCCAAGAGGTCACTGGATGGGTTCCCGGTCAGTCAGGGCACAAGCCCGGGCTGTGGCTCCATCGCTGGTGGGCGTGCAGGAGGCAGCCGATCACGTTTCTCTCTCTCTTGTCATGGATGTTTCTATCTCTCTCTCCCTCTCCCTTCCTCTCCCTCTAAAATCAATAAAAACATATTTTTTAAAAAAGAAAGCAAGCTCAGAACCTGAATCAGGCTCCATTCGCTGACTCCCCCTCGGAACCTCACCCAGCGGTCCTTCTTGTCTTCCCCGAGGCACTGCATGGCGGTGCGGAACTGTCCGGCGTCGGCTCCCCGCAGGTCCTCCCGCAGCTTTTGGGGCTGGTACAGCCGCTGCTCCAGGTGGTGCTCCACGGCCGCCTGGACATGGTGTGAGGAGAGTGCGTGAGGACAGGACAAGAGCGGTGAGCACGCGCGCGCAGTCCAGCCCGGCCGCCTCCTACCCTGCGGAGGCCCCAGCAGCACCTGACCGGAAGCCGGCAGGAGGGTTCATCAGCTGCCAGCGTTTAAAGAAGGCTGTTCCTCACAACAATGCAGACCTCCAACTTCTCTCGGAAAACACAGATTCTGCAATGCTGGACACGTCCCGCCTGTGACAACCAGCTCCCCACCCAGCCATCCAGCCACTTCTCCGAAGCCTGCCTGGTCCCGGGAGGGGATGGAGGTTTCAAGTCCAGAAAGTTCACCCAAGGTGGGCACTCTCCCAGGCCTCAAGCTACGAGGGCAAGACAAGCATTCGGGGAGCAAGAACCAATTCCCTCCCTCCGCAGCCTCTCCCGACAGAATCGCTCTGCTCCCTGGGGGATTCTCCCCTCAGCCTCCCTCAGACAGGGCTGCTGCAGAAAGGCAAGCAGCATGTGCCACGGGAAAGGTGGTCTCCAGAGCCAGACAACCATGTGCAAGCCCCACCCGGCCACGCACTAGCCGTGCGGCCTTGGGCATGTCACTTAGCCAGTTTGCTAGATAAAACACAGGATACCCAGTTAAGTCTAAATTGCAGGTCAGCAATGAATAATGTTTTTAGCATAAGCGTATCCCAAATATTGCATGGGACATACTTAGACTTTTTGTTTGTTGTTCAATGATAGTATTATAGTATTATCATTCATTCATTCACTCAATATCTAGTATATATTTACATATATATGAAGACAGGCAGTATAACTACTAATATGTATATACTAGAGGCCCAGTGCATGAAATTCGTGCATGGGTAGCGTCCCTAGGCCTGGCCAGCGATCAGGGCTGATCAGATTCCCCGCCCCCTTCCCTCGCCGCTCCCTCAGCATCCCGCTGCCACTGCTGGTCACCTGCCATGTTCCGCGCCGCCCCCTGGTGGTCAGCACACGTCATAGCGAGCGATTGAACTCCCGGTCTCCTGGTCGAACTCCCCAGGGGACACTTTGCATATTAGCTTTTTATATATATAGATATATTTCATGAGAAACCACATGCTAGAGAGAAAGGGTCAGGCATTTCTCATCTTAAACTGCCACAGACTGATGAGCAGTAGAGATAAAGGTGGGTATCCTGGTGAATGGCTAACCACCAGCTCTCCGAGGCAGTGCAGCTGCGAGTGTTGGCTGATATGTTTGTTTTCATCAAGTAAACATGGAAACAACAGAGATGTCAGACCTTCTTTCATCCATGACATGAATTCTTTGCTGGATCAGAGAATGGTTCTTGAATCCTGGGAGAATATTCCCTCCGTTTTCTGTGTGTGCTAGTCCCGGTGTCATGGCGAAGACACGGCGCACCAGCCCTACCACCCACTGAGGCACAGACCCACTGCCATGACTAACATGACTCTTGCTTGTGGTTGAGTTAAAAGTGAAGAAAAATATTTCTTGGATCATGACTGAGGTACTGATACTTATGCCCTGTTGTTCCCTTTAGCAATAGAATCCCACGCGCCCGAGCTGGTCCGTGGCCTCTGAGAAAGGCCTGCAGTAACGTGACCATGGGCTGGGAGCCAAGGAAGGTCAGCAGAAGGAAGACTAACATGACTCTTGCTTGTGGTTGAGTTAAAAGTGAAGAAAAATATTTCTTGGATCATGACTGAGGTACTGATACTTATGCCCTGTTGTTCCCTTTAGCAATAGAATCCCACGCGCCCGAGCTGGTCCGTGGCCTCTGAGAAAGGCCTGCAGTAACGTGACCATGGGCTGGGAGCCAAGGAAGGTCAGCAGAAGGAAGTGTGGGAGTGCAGGTCACATCCTTAAGGAAAACACCTGCACT